CGCGCTTGAGGTTTGTGTTGCCAGATGCCAACTGGATGAGCTTTCCCACCTCCGTGGAGCCAGTGAAGGCCAGCTTATCCACATCTGCGTGATTGGCCAGGATGGCGCCGGCTTCACCGAAGCCAGGCACCACATTAACCACACCCTCCGGGAAGCCAGCCTCCTTCACCAGCTGCGCAATGTATAGGGCCGTCAGACTGGTCTGCTCTGCAGGCTTCAGCACGATGGTGTTGCCGGTTGCCAGCGCGGGTCCCAGTTTCCAGGCCATCATCAGAATGGGGAAGTTCCAAGGAATAACCTGACCGCACACGCCCACAGGCTCGTGACGGGTGTACGCGAAGAAGTCACCGTCCATGGGGATGGTCTTGCCATGGTTCTTATCAGCCCAGCCGGCAAAGTAGCGCAGATTCTTGATGGCCGTGGGTAGATCCACATTGTAGGACATGCTGTAGGGTTTGCCGTTGTCCAAAGTCTCCAAGCTCTGCCAAGGGATAGAGTTGATTACTGCCATTGAACTGGGATTTTTTTTAATCTAAAAACTTACAGACAAGTAGACCTGATCACGCTCCATAAGATCCGCCAAGCGGTAGATTAGACGCCCGCGCTCCGAAGCATCCATACGGCGCCAGGGGGAACCCAGTCTACAGGACACCAAAACCAATCATTAACCATTATCTATTCATTCGAAATCTCACACTAAGACTCACTGGAAAGCTGAGCGGGCAGCCTTTACGGCAATATCGATATCCTCCTTATCGCTTTCCTGAATTTCAGCGATACACTCCTCTGTGGTTGGATTGATGGTAGCAAATGTTTTGCCCGATTTGCTCTTGTGCCACTCATTGTTGATGAACAGCTATAAAGAGGTTAGAGAGTAAATGAATAGCCCAAAAACTGAGAGAGAGCGACAAGCAGAGCGACAGCAGTTGCAGTCAAGGTCAAGTCAAAAACATGCTGGCACACTATCTGCAGTCTTTATCGCGCCTTATTCGCGATAAGCCCGTTTTCACTTTTTCGTATTAATATTCATTTGTGCACTTACTCCGGTGTAGAGCACCTCCGGGGTGGTCTGGGGCTTAGGTAGATCAGAGTAGTGGGCCACAGCTGCGGCAAAGTTCTTGTTTTGCGAACGCAACAGGGCGCCGCCGGTCTTCAAAGCTCGCAGCATTGTTGTATTTATTTCTTTGCACGGAAAATGAGGATAGAAACTAGAATTGGGCCGCCTCTCGCGAAACCTACGTAGAAATAATTTAAGTGTCTCCGTAGAGACACGAAAGTCACGAAAATTAATAAATTTTTGTTTTTAAAGCCGGTTATCCAGCACTGCGGAAAATAAATCTGTAAATATCTGTTTAACTTCATATACAAAAATAACTACAGCTACTTTTCGTTTACTTTTTCATTTGTCGATTGTATATATCTGCGAGCATGCGACCTATGGGTGAAGAAAATGTATGCAAAAAGAGTTTGGAGTATGTAGAGAAATTCCTTAAAATTTTTATATTTCAAAAGAGTTTTGTAAATGCTAACCCATATACATATGCATAGGCAAGATTTTTATACCCGGTACTCGAAGAGTAAATAGGGTATATTTTATTTGTGCACAAAGTATGTAACACACATAAGGAAACGTTTCCGACCCCATAAAGTTTATATATTCTTGATCAGCATCAATAGCCGAGTCGATTGTGCCATGTCTGTCTGTCCGTCCGTCTGTCCGTCTGTACGTCTGTCCGTCCGTCTTGTTGAGCGCCTGGATCTCAGAGACCATAAAAGCTAGAGCCACCAAAGTTTGCATCCAGACTTCTGTAGGCTTGCCTCTGCAGCGAGTCTGCAGTGTGTGGGTCTAGGGAAGGGCGGCGACCCAAAAGAGCGTGTTGGTGAGGGAAGTGTTGTAGATGTAGATGACAGATGAAGAAATAATGTTAAATGTTGACAAAACACCGCTAAGGTGCAGATGTAGTACTGAGTGCCGGGTATAAAAGTTGTGACGCGTAAGAAGCGTCTCACACGTCCCTTCTCGTTTTTTTTTCTACCCGGTACTCGAAGAGTAAATAAGGTATATTGTATGTAACGCACAGAAGGAAGCGTTTCCGACCAAATAAAGTATATATATTCTTGATCAGCATCAATAGCCGAGTCGATAGAGCCATGTCTGTCTGTCCGTCTGTCCGTCTTGTTTGCCGGCTCGTTCTCAGAGACTATAAGAGCTAGAGCCACCAAATGTTGGCTCCAGACTGCTGTATACTAACACTGAAACCAGTGTGTTTTTTAAAAATTAGCCCCGCTCCCGCGAATTGTCGCAAACCTCCCAAATCTACAAGATAAAATGAATCTAAAAACGTCATTCTGTAGGGAATGACCATATCTATCAGATCACGAAATTGGGATCCCATTGGATCATTATTAGATCCAAAATGAAATCCAGAAGTCCAGCTGCTTTTGTTGTTTTTTCACATTCTCTCATTCACACTCTGCTTCTGCAGTTTCCGCTGGGCGCTGCCTCTGCCGCGGCTCTGCCTCTGACGTGGATCTGAAGTGTGCAGCTCTAGGGGAGGGGGCGAGTGAAAATAGCCGCGTTAGATGCATCTCACACGTCCCTTCTCGTTTTTTTTCAGAACATTGATTTTCACTTTCTAATTGGGTTTGGCTGTAATTGTAATACTTGTTTATTCCCCTCCCTTCCCGAGCGGGGTTTTATATATTCGCTCAAGCAACGCTTTGGCGCTGTTCTAGGTGGCCGCCGTCTGCCGGGGTTGCTTGCTTGGCTCAGCGACGGTAAAAGCTCCGGCGAAATGCTCAGTCGCTCCAGCTGATAAAATAAAAGTGCCGAGCCTTCCCTGTGGCTAACTTTCTGTCGCCCCAGCTGGAAACTTTAATCTGGCGAGCCTCCTCTAACGCTTATCTAATCGCTGCCTTGCGGCTCTCGCAGGCTAGTTGATATTGCAGATATTGCAGTTTTCCCTATCACTGCACTTAGACACTTAAAAAAAACTGTCTTGGCCTCTGTTTCTTTGCATTAGTTCTAGCGATCCAGATCGAAAATGTCTAATGGCGTCCTGCCAACCTCTATTTAAAGCCTATCTCTATTTGAAATTTGCCGTCGAACTCGCTCTCCTTTTAATTGACTTGTCTCTGCTTTCTCTGCTCTCCATATATTTTCCAATTTGTTTCCTCCGCTAATTTATAAAGAGAACTATGTCCGTATTTGTACGCCTGGCAGTGGCTATTTTTCGGCGGATCCCAAAAAACGCCTCACCGTACAGTTTTAATACACTTAAAGAGAATTTAACTGAATGGAAAAAAAAACAAAGACTGACTGGATGTATCGTTTTTAGCAACATCGTTTGTCTAATTTAGATATGTAGATCGCGTGTAAATGTGAGCTTAAGGCTAAACGGAATGAACCCCTGGTCCAGGGACAGCCTCACTTTTTAGGAGTTCTTCTGTGCCACCTTGACAATGACGCTCTTGACCTCCGTGTAGTTAGAGAGCGCATACTCGCCGTTTTCACGGCCATGGCCGGACATTTTGTATCCTCCAAATGGTGCCTGAGCGGGCAGGACATTGTAGGTGTTCACCCAGACAGTGCCGGCACGCAGACCTCCGACAATATAGTTGGCCTTGTCCAGATCTTTGGTAAAGACAGCGGCCGCCAGGCCGTAATCCGAGTTGTTGGCACGCTCAATGACCTCATCGAGCTTCTTGAAGCGAATCAACTGCTGTACGGGGCCGAAGATCTCTTCGCGGGCAATGGTCATGTCGTCCTTTACATCGGCAAACACCGTGGGCTGCACGAAGTAGCCGGGAAGGTCTTCGGGACGGCTTCCGCCGGCCACCAATTTGGCACCCTGCTTCTCTCCCTGCTTGATCATGCAGAGAATCTTCTCCATCTGCTCCTGGTTTACCTGGGGACCCTGCTCGGTTTTCAGATCAAAGGGATTGCCCAAGGTCCTCTTCTTGGCGCGCTCCGCACTGCGCTCTACGAACTCATCGTAAATCTTGTCCTCCACAAAGGTGCGAGAGCCGGCACAGCAGCACTGGCCCATGTTGAAGAACAGACCAAAGTGGGCCGTCTCCACGGCGTAGTCTAGGTCCGTGTCGGAGAGAATAATGTTCGGGGACTTGCCGCCCAACTCCAGAGTCACGCGCTTGAGGTTTGTGTTGCCAGATGCCAACTGGATGAGCTTTCCCACCTCCGTGGAGCCAGTGAAGGCCAGCTTATCCACATCTGCGTGATTGGCCAGGATGGCGCCGGCTTCACCGAAGCCAGGCACCACATTAACCACACCCTCCGGGAAGCCAGCCTCCTTCACCAGCTGCGCAATGTATAGGGCCGTCAGACTGGTCTGCTCTGCAGGCTTCAGCACGATGGTGTTGCCGGTTGCCAGCGCGGGTCCCAGTTTCCAGGCCATCATCAGAATGGGGAAGTTCCAAGGAATAACCTGACCGCACACGCCCACAGGCTCGTGACGGGTGTACGCGAAGAAGTCACCGTCCATGGGGATGGTCTTGCCATGGTTCTTATCAGCCCAGCCGGCAAAGTAGCGCAGATTCTTGATGGACAAGGGTAGATCCACATTGTAGGACATGTTGTAGGGTTTGCCATTATCCAAAGTCTCCAAGCTCTGCCAAGGNCAATGGTCATGTCGTCCTTTACATCGGCAAACACCGTGGGCTGCACGAAGTAGCCGGGAAGGTCTTCGGGACGGCTTCCGCCGGCCACCAATTTGGCACCCTGCTTCTCTCCCTGCTTGATCATGCAGAGAATCTTCTCCATCTGCTCCTGGTTTACCTGGGGACCCTGCTCGGTTTTCAGATCAAAGGGATTGCCCAAGGTCCTCTTCTTGGCGCGCTCCGCACTGCGCTCTACGAACTCATCGTAAATCTTGTCCTCCACAAAGGTGCGAGAGCCGGCACAGCAGCACTGGCCCATGTTGAAGAACAGACCAAAGTGGGCCGTCTCCACGGCGTAGTCTAGGTCCGTGTCGGAGAGAATAATGTTCGGGGACTTGCCGCCCAACTCCAGAGTCACGCGCTTGAGGTTTGTGTTGCCAGATGCCAACTGGATGAGCTTTCCCACCTCCGTGGAGCCAGTGAAGGCCAGCTTATCCACATCTGCGTGATTGGCCAGGATGGCGCCGGCTTCACCGAAGCCAGGCACCACATTAACCACACCCTCCGGGAAGCCAGCCTCCTTCACCAGCTGCGCAATGTATAGGGCCGTCAGACTGGTCTGCTCTGCAGGCTTCAGCACGATGGTGTTGCCGGTTGCCAGCGCGGGTCCCAGTTTCCAGGCCATCATCAGAATGGGGAAGTTCCAAGGAATAACCTGACCGCACACGCCCACAGGCTCGTGACGGGTGTACGCGAAGAAGTCACCGTCCATGGGGATGGTCTTGCCATGGTTCTTATCAGCCCAGCCGGCAAAGTAGCGCAGATTCTTGATGGACAAGGGTAGATCCACATTGTAGGACATGTTGTAGGGTTTGCCATTATCCAAAGTCTCCAAGCTCTGCCAAGGGATAGAGTTTATTACTGCCATTGAAATGGGATTTTTTTAAATCTAAAAACTTACAGACAAGTAGACCTGATCACGCTCCATAAGATCCGCCAAGCGGTAGATTAGACGCCCGCGCTCCGAAGCATCCATACGGCGCCAGGGGGAACCCAGTCTACAGGACACCAAAACCAATCATTAACCATTATCTATTCATTCGAAATCTCACACTAAGACTCACTGGAAAGCTGAGCGGGCAGCCTTTACGGCAATATCGATATCCTCCTTATCGCTTTCCTGAATTTCAGCGATGCACTCCTCTGTGGTTGGATTGATGGTAGCAAATGTTTTGCCCGATTTGCTCTTGTGCCACTCATTGTTGATGAACAGCTATAAAGAGGTTAGAGAGTAAATGAATAGCCCAAAAACTGAGAGAGAGCGACAAGCAGAGCGACTGCAGTTGCAGTCGGCTCTGGGCCAAGGTCAAGTCAAAAACATGCTGGCACACTATCTGCAGTCTTTATCGCGCCTTATTCGCGATAAGCCCGTTTTCACTTTTTCGTATTATTATTCATTTGTGCACTTACTCCGGTGTAGAGCACCTCCGGGGTGGTCTGGGGCTTAGGTAGATCAGAGTAGTGAGCCACAGCTGCGGCAAAGTTCTTGTTTTGCGAACGCAACAGGGCGCCGCCGGTCTTCAAAGCGCGCAGCATTGTTGTATTTCTTTCTTTGCACGGAAAATGAGGATCGAAACTAGAATTGAGCCGCCTCTCGCGAAACCTACGTAGAAATAATTTAAGTGTCTCCGTAGAGACACGAAAGTCACGAAAATAAATAAATTTTTGTTTTTAAAGCCGGTTATCCAGCACTGCGGAAAATAAATCTGTAAATATCTGTTTAACTTCATATACAAAAACTACTACAGCTACTTTTCGTTTACTTTTTCATTTGTCGATTGTATATATCTGCGAGCATGCGACCTATGGGTGAAAAAAATGTATGGAAAAAGGGTGTGGAGTATGTAGAGAAATGTAATATCTCAAGTGCTTTCAAGACTTTCCTTAAAATTTTTATATTTCAAAAGAGTTTTTATACACTTAAAGAGAATTTAACCGAATGGAAAATAAACACAGAGACTGACTGGCCAAAGCTTATGGATGAATGCATCCGTTTTTAGCAACATATCGTATGTCTAATATAGAAATGTAGATCGCGCGTAAATGTGAGCTTAAGGCTAACCAAGAGAGGTTGAAATCGGCATTTAGAGCACCTCAACGGGATGAACCCCTGGTCCAAGAACAGCCTCACTTTTTAGGAGTTCTTCTGTGGCACCTTCACAATGACGCTCTTGACCTCCGTGTAGTTAGAGAGCGCATACTCGCCGTTTTCACGGCCATGGCCGGACATTTTGTATCCTCCAAATGGTGCCTGAGCGGCCAGGGCATTGTAGGTGTTCACCCAGACAGTGCCGGCACGCAGACCTCCGACAATATAGTTGGCCTTGTCCAGATCCTTGGTAAAGACAGCAGCGGCCAGGCCGTACTCCGAGTTGTTGGCACGCTCAATGACCTCATCGAGCTTCTTGAAGCGAATCAACTGCTGTACGGGGCCGAAGATCTCTTCGCGGGCAATGGTCATGTCGTCCTTTACATCGGCAAACACCGTGGGCTGCACGAAATAGCCGGGAAGGCCTTCGGGACGGCTTCCGCCGGCTACCAATTTGGCGCCCTGCTTCTCTCCCTGCTTGATCATGCAGAGAATCTTCTCCATCTGCTCCTGGTTAACCTGGGGACCCTGCTCGGTGTTCAGATCAAAGGGATTGCCCACGGTCCTCTTCTTGGCGCGCTCCGCACTGCGCTCTACGAACTCATCGTAAATCTTGTCCTCCACAAAGGTGCGAGAGCCGGCACAGCAGCACTGGCCCATGTTGAAGAACAGACCAAAGTGGGCCGTCTCCACGGCGTAGTCCAGGTCCGTGTCGGAGAGAATAATGTTCGGGGACTTGCCGCCCAACTCCAGAGTTACGCGCTTGAGGTTTGTGTTGCCAGATGCCAACTGGATGAGCTTTCCCACATCCGTGGAGCCAGTGAAGGCCAGCTTATCCACATCTGCGTGATTGGCCAGTGCGGCGCCGGCTCCACCGAAGCCAGGCACCACATTAACCACACCCTCCGGGAAGCCAGCCTCCTTCACCAGCTGCGCAATGTATAGGGCCGTCAGACTGGTCTGCTCTGCAGGCTTCAGCACGATGGTGTTGCCGGTTGCCAGCGCGGGTCCCAGTTTCCAGGCCATCATCAGAATGGGGAAGTTCCAAGGAATAACCTGACCGCACACGCCCACAGGCTCGTGACGGGTGTACGCGAAGAAGTCACCGTCCATGGGGATGGTCTTGCCATGGTTCTTATCAGCCCAGCCGGCAAAGTAGCGCAGATTCTTGATGGCCGTGGGTAGATCCACATTGTAGGACATGCTGTAGGGTTTGCCGTTGTCCAAAGTCTCCAAGCTCTGCCAAGGGATAGAGTTGATTACTGCCATTGAACTGGGATTTTTTTTAATCTAAAAACTTACAGACAAGTAGACCTGATCACGCTCCATAAGATCCGCCAAGCGGTAGATCAGACGCCCGCGCTCCGAAGCATCCATACGGCGCCAGGGGGAACCCAGTCTACAGGACACCAAAACCAATCATTAACCATTATCTATTCATTCGAAATCTCACACTAAGACTCACTGGAAAGCTGAGCGGGCAGCCTTTACGGCAATATCGATATCCTCCTTATCGCCAGCCTGAATTTCAGCGATGCTCTGCTCTGTGGTTGGGTTGATGGTCTCAAATGTTTTGCCCGATTTGCTCTTGTGCCACTCATTGTTGATGAACAGCTGTAAAGAGGTTAGATAAGGGTTAGAATACAGAACTCAGAGGTACACTTTATTTATTTATGGCCATATCATTTCCATAATCTGGCATATTGCATTTTTTTGTTCATATTACACATGGTTTCAATGAATGCCGCACCTCAATTTGATGCGCACTCAGACTGCTGTTTACCCCTATTGAATAATCATCTGATTATTCAGTTAGCATGTGGACTGGCTACCTACAGCGAATATGCCCCTCCTGCCCCCAATTTTTTTGTAATCAGAAACGTTTACCGGTTAACTGATTAGATTTGAAATGAACGCACGCCATCTCCCCAAGATGTTGTTACCTTTTATTATTATTCTCTATTTTTACAATCAAATCTATCTGTAGTCGCAGGCGTTCGACTATATAAAACTTTCCATCAGACCACAAAAGTTAAGAATGATTTGCAAAACATACACACACGTACATACACATACACAACAATGCCAGTGTCTGGGCTCGTCTAGACGATCGAACTGGTTTTGGGGGTATATGTACGCACATACTTACATAGTAGGTAGCTTTTTTTTCTATTAAACAAAATTTAAAATGTTATCTGCAAAGCATAGAGCCTTGGCACAGCCCGCTAGTCGCTAGTCGACTTTAGGGAGTTGTTATTCGTGATAAGGCATGGCATAAGCCCATAAAACAAGAGTGAATCAACCGATAAGAAAAGTATTAAGTGGGTTGAGACATCTGGTAGATTTTTGAAGCATACTGATTTTGAGGGGTTTGTTAGATGCTATGTAATGGGGAAACAGTATTCCTTACAAATCTTTAAATACATTGTGGAGATTTCCTGTCAATTAAAATAAAGTTCCTGTTTCTATAGCTCATCGGTTAATAATTATGCCAATAAAAATTGAATTAATAACAAATAGATAGCTGATCTCTCTCATTTTCTCTCTTTGAAATTAATATTCCTAGCATTAAAATCTGTTTAAAATGGTACGTAAATAATAATTTTCCAATCAATATTCAAACAAAGCCCCGTTCTTCCTCTACTTATGGCGCAATACGCCCATATGCTGCAGACAACAAATTCCCTGCCATATCTGAATGGGAATACTCTTTGGTTTCGATCAGAAACCACAAAATAAATACCACCCATCTCCTCTCTCACTGATTCCAATTAAATCTAACAAAACGCTGGGGCTCTAATTGTCGCGCGGGGCACAAAAAACACGAACAAACTTCTAAAATCGTACAATTTATGCAAATTTCCCTCGCGGCATGAGCATATAAACAACAAATGCGGAAAGAAACCACAAAACATGGAGCGCAACGAAGATCGAGGAGGAAGGGACCGATATTGAAAGAACAATTGGCAATTTAGCGACGCAGTGACATAACTAAGAAATGGAAAATAACAGAATAAAAAGCACACACATGGAGGGGAGAGAGAACGCCATAAGAGAAGCAGCGTGAATCGCAGATTTGATACCCTAGTAAATCAAACGCGGATGAGGTCAAGCGATTTAGTTTCAGATTTAGTATGACGAGGCTTTTGAGAATTCATAGAAAACTACAGGTAGTTCAGTTTCCATTAGTTTTTTTTTCTATGCGTTTCAAACATTTAAAAATGTATATACCCTAAGTACTCTTACAATTACAGAGAGCGCTGAGAGGGAGAGAGTACGTAGCAGCAGCTTTGCCAAAACAACGACAGCCGGCTGTTTTATGATTTTTCGTTCTCTTTTGTCTATTTTTGCCGGCCCTACGTTTCGCGTCGGCCACATGCTTGGAGTAATCCTCTACAGCTGAGACTTTCAAGCTGATTTTATCCCATTGATAAGCGTAATACAAGGTGTGTACGTGAGCTGAATGTTGTGTGAGTCGGAGCCCCTGTTTATTTGTTCTCTTTTTTTGTTGGCCACAAAAGGGTCCAAAAGCCCACACTTGAAAACTTAAAAACCTGATTTTCGTTTACAGGGCATTAGAAATGAGTAGCGCTGAGACTGAGAGAGAGAGCCACAAGCAGAGCAACAGCAGTTGCATGCGGCTCTGGCCCAAGGTCAAGTCAAAAACAAGCTGGCACACTCTTTGCAGTCTTTATCGCGCCTTATTCGCGATAAGCCCGTTTTCACTTTTTCGTATTATTATTCATTTGTGCACTTACTCCGGTGTAGAGCACCTCCGGGGTGGTCTGGGGCTTAGGTAGATCAGAGTAGTGGGCCACAGCTGCGGCAAAGTTCTTGTTTTGCGAACGCAACAGGGCGCCGCCGGTCTTCAAAGCGCGCAGCATTGTTGTGTTTCTTTCTTTGCTCGGAAATTGAGGAGCGAAACTAGAATTGTGGTTGTTGAAGGCACGGCCGTCCACGGGCAACTGTAAAGCAGCCTCAGCGCCGCCTCTCGCGAAACCTACGTAGAACAAATTAAAGTGTCTCCGTAGAGATGTGTTCTTTACACGGGCACGAAAGTCACGAAAATAAATCAATTTTTGTTTTTAAGGCCGGTTATCCAGCACTGCGGAAAATAAATCTGTAAATATCTGTTTAACATCATATACAAAATCTAAGTTGGTAAGTTTTCACGACTGTTTATAAAGTTTTTGTTTTGTGCCATCTCCAGACCCCACTGATAATGAGAGTGAGATAGCTACACATAGTAAGGTAGTTGGAAAGAAGAGAGCAGCGTCAGTATTTTTTGAGTGGAAGAGAATAAAAAAATTCTCAAGTGCAGACCCTAAAAGGGGAACACAAAACAAGGAAACAAACAATACCAACAACTATAAATAAAAGTATGAAAATGAAATACATTAAATTAATTTCATTACATTATATTCATTCATACAGGATACAGTGAAAGATCTCTCCGTGAAAATCAAAAGCAGAGCAAGTCGATGTTCACTCCAGAGAGTGGTTGCCTGCGCTGGCAAACGTAAAAGAATTTAATTAGGCTATTTATGTATGTGAAAAAAAATCTAGAAAATATTTCGAGATATTTCCATGATGATTTGCAAGTTTATAAAGATGAGAATGGAATTCTGAACAATTTCATAATATCATGAAATTAAATAAAAAACATGAGCAAATAAATTGTAGTATATAAAAGCTTATCAGCGTTTATTTGTGTCCATCAATCAATATTCTAGGCAAATATTAAAAATCTCTCATTGTTTATTTTTATTTCTCCCTAAATTTCCCACTCTTTATTTCGTTTGTTTCCACTCAAAATGTTAATTGCCAGTTGCCTACTTTGCGGCTGTCAGCGAAAATTCATAGAATAGAACCGTCGATATTGATGGCCCCCAAATAGATTTTGTGTGTCCATAATTCATGAAAAGAGATTTGGAACAATTTGTCAAATGGCTTGGTGGTGGTGGTGGGACTCGTACATACGTAAATATATTATTCCAATCGTAAATTGAAAGCTCAGCGCAGCTGTCAAGTGAATCACGCTTGCCAGCATCAAAATCAAAATCAGAGGCAGAACAAACCACAGAGAAAATCCAATCGGCTGACTGGAAAAACTAATTCGATGCACGAAAATGCTATGCAATTCAGAATCCGGAGTAGAGTAAACATTGCGTATGTACAAAAGGTCTGGCGTTCGAGTCGGAGCCAATTACCATCGTCAAACAGCCGAAATAAACTTTAATGGCTATTGTTATGCGTCGGTCCCTGTTATTGATGATTCTGCCTGTGGTTGAGGCTGGGGGAATGGATATGTGAGTGGCTGCTGCTGTTATCCTCGGAGGAATGAAATATTTAATAACCGACGAGAGAGAACAAACAGTTTGGCATAAAAATCACATTGCATATGGACAACTCAGCATCAGTAGAAGCCGGACTCTCTTTCCAGCTCTGGACTCTGCAGGACACGCACTTAAATGTCAGTGATTGCAGGATGCTTTCTGACCCCATCCCCTGGAATGTGTGGGTTATAAATGTCCAGAATGAAATTTCCAACAAATTGTTGGAAATGAGTTTCAATTGAATTTAATTACGCCTGGTGGGAGTCGTTGACGTTCTCGTTGTCCTTCCATCCACATGCGAGTGCGAGTACTCGTATAATTTTATGGATGATTACGTAAATTAAGTTTGGTTTTCATGCGGCTGGATGATGTGTGTGTTGTGTATGGCTATGTTTGTTGCAGGTGTGTAATCAAGGTGGGAATATGATTAACACCGATACTTCTTCCCATTCGCTGCTCGATGATGTTTCATTGATGCTCTCAAAGGGCAGCTGAGCGCCAGAAATAATTTGAACAATTTACAAATAATATTCTCATTGGAGTGAAATGGAATGCTGGCCTCAAAGGAATGTTAATGATGATGGAACTTTGCTGGAAAAATAACAAAGACTTCTTTGATTTATTCCTTGAAATTTTAATTGAAATATTTAACAAATATTTATTTGTTTTCCTGCCTTCACTTCAATTGCAATTCTGACTCATATTCTTGCCCTTTTAAAATGCCAGCCACATGTTCGTTCCCACATGGAATTATTACCATATTTCAGGCCATTAACAGGCACCACCATTAACCCCCTGACATGTCCTGCCTCGAGCAGAACTTTTAGATTGACTTTCGTTTGCTTAGGCGAAAGCTAAACAAATGCCCGAAAGGATAAATAGAAAATCCATCAATTTTGTGCGGTTATCATCTGCCTGTCAAAGGTCACATCAAACAAAAGAAACCCAAGCTCCACTTTTGGGATATTAAAAAAACAACCAGAGTACCGAACACCAACAAAAATGAAAGAAAAACCAGTGGAAATTTCAGGCAAAAAGAACCCAACCAAGGAGATGAAAAAAAAACTGAAGTGAAATGTATGCAAATGGCTTATGGCTCGAGGTGTTTGCTTACACTTGCTTGACCCTTTGCCTCCCACTCTCCCGCCCACGCCCTGTGTGTTTATGGCTCTCTTTTGGAGCCAGAGGCAAAAAGAATTGGGTTTCAGGAGGGTCACGAGTTATGGCTTAAGTAATTTGTTAAGTTATTAGGTGGCCGCACATGGCGAATGCGCATTGCGTATTAGTAATTCCCATGCAAATGCCTTACCATGCCGCATATAATTTATGTCTCTTTATTTTTGCTTTTGACATCCTTTTTGCAGATATGAAACCTACAAGGCAACTCTCAAGAAAATACCCGCAACTCGCCTCTCCCGACTGACCGAGGCGCTGGCCAACTACGATCCGGTACTCAATGAATACTTCTTCGATCGCCATCCCGGTGTGTTCACCCAAATCCTCAACTATTACAGGTGAGCAGAGAGGGGGAGAGCTCAAGAGGGGAGCAAACTAATTAAGTGGCTGACGGTGAAAGGTGCTTTAAACGTGCAAAGACTCTGCAATGGGTGGAAGAGCTCCGTCCTCTGCATGGTAATTACATCGTTTAAGCTGGCAGGATGTTTGGCATTTCAATTTCTGTTGCTGCCATGATTATCCAGCTGATTAATGGCAGTCAACAGATACAGCGTTTCCCAGATGAATAAACAAACTAATATTTAAATTGCTGCAAAAACGAAACCCTCCCTCTTCCATAGCAGAACTCAACATTAATCTCAACTTTTTGGTGCTGCAAAAGTTGATACAACATTTTTGCTCCTGGTTGGGTCATTAGCGGGCTCATTTATCTTCGTGGTCTGTGCTGCGTTTCGCTCCCGCGATGACTAAAGTTGTTTAAAATTAATGAAACTTTGTTTTCTGGCCATCTTCACCTGCTGGTTTTGGTGCAGCTGCAAATGAAGATCCAACGCTGTCAGCAGCATCCCCTGGCTATATCTTCATTGATTGGACAGCAGCACCAGTCCCCAGTTCCCCGCCACATCCTTTCCGTCCATAGCTCACGGGTATGTGGCCAAACAGTTTTCCAACTCAATTAACCAGGCACCCCTCTACAAAGCCCCACAAAGTCCCGCATGCCCCACGAAAATGGTGTCAAACGAGGTAAAGCTGGAGAAAGAAAACAAAAAACGGTGCAACATCCAGGGTTGATTGGATATGAAACTGAGTCCTTCAGGGGGGGCAAGAGGGCCCCTGCGTATCTCCATTATCCCTGGGGGGCTAGGGGTTGTATAATCAAATTATGCACGCACCAAAAGCTACAGACAATTTGTGTCTGTGTGTGTGCTAGAGGAGGATTTCACATTCATATTGATAAAAGCTGAGTGGAATTGACGATGCAGCACAAATTAGATGGGAGAAACGTGCGATAATATGCGTTTCTTTATCGATTACTTATCGATTGGATGACAATGATGCTGACGGTTACGAGAGAATTGAGAAAACTGAGAGAATTTAAAGTAAAGTAAAATGCAAACTCTGCCCAGAGTTCCGTTTTAAGTCCATTAAAAGTTGTTCCTTACTTTTGTCAGCCTAGTAATCCGCACATTTTACATTACAAATAATGATTTTTCACAGCTTGCAGCTGCAGCAAAGACTTCCTGCAGTTCCTCCTACAGCACAGAGCTCCTGCAGTTCCCAAGGAAGCCATTGTCCATTGCTTTTCAGTTTGCCTGCACACCATTAAAGCAAACTGCGCGTTGACATCCAATCGATGGGTCATTATTTATGCACATTTAAGCGCAGAGTCGCCTTATATACGGCTGATCAGCGGCTGTTGGTGCGGCAAGTGGGACATACGGGTCACTTGGAAGGTCAGCTATAAATATTGATTGTAGTGGTTGTATCGCTGGCAGTCGGCTGGTCCTGCGTATGCTTTACCTTTTGAATTGGACACTTGATGAAATGAAAGGATAAAAGCCAGCAGATAAAACCTGACCAAAATTTTAGTTTTTGGGCACAGGGAAAATGGGAAAATATTGTAATGGTGTGTGGAAGTGCTTTTTGGAACTGCGTCGTGAATTTTCGAGTGGTTTTTATGGTGGAAACCAATTACCGATCCATGGGAGACAGCGTGGAAAAGAATTATGGCGAAAATCCCTCGCTGAAAATGACTGCAGCGCACTTCGAGAGATTAAAAAGTACAGGATGAGAAGATAAAGGTATTTAAATGGTGCGACTAAGGGATACCCAGCATGGGTGATAGCTAGGTACATTTCGAGAGTTTTGGGGGGGGGATGATGAAGTGAAAAATTATTTTATTTTCACTTTAAACAAGCTCATTCCCAGGAGCAATTATTCCTTCCTCCTCCTCCAATCCCATTGCAGGGTATTTTGATCCAAAAAATATATAAATACATATGTACATATTCCTGCCATTGTCAAAATGTCAAAAAGTCAAAGTATGTATTTTTTGAGGCAGGATGGGCAGAACCTCGAAGAGGAGGATCAGGTTCGATTGCCCATCATGAAATCCGCAATTTGCAAGTCCGCAGGCAGTCACCACGCCACTGGACATGGAGGTGTGTCGTGGCGGTAGAGCAGATGGGGATGTAGTTTTCCTTCGTTGTCTTTTTTTTTAATAACATTTTTTCCAAAGAATTCCTTGTAGCGAAATGATTTTTAACAAGCGCACAAAAGCGCTGCCAACCAACACGAAAGCGAAAAAGTTGCGCACAAAAAAAGGGACATTCAGGATATGCACACATTGTGCATGGGAGGGACACACACATGGAGTAAAGATATCATCCAAAAATAAAACAAGGCAACAACTGGCACCGCCCATTCCCCCGTTGTCGCTCTCGTGGCTGTCCAGCAGCTGATATGGCATTACAAGTTGGCCAACAACTGCAGACAAGGACGAAGGTCCATCCGACCTCGCTTCCATCTCCATTTCCCTGCCTGCCCTTTTTGCGGAAAGTTGCCCTTGCAGCCATTTACTGCAATTTGCACACAGAAACCAGCAGAATGAAATAAAGGGTCACCGAAGCGGTAGATGTCCTTTGTTTTGCTGGCAGCAATGTGATGTAGTGGAAGGTATTGTACCGCTTTTGAAAGGGTACACAAATTGTTGCACATGCAGCAGGAGCAGGGGTAGCCGGAGACAAGAGTAGAGCTGTGCCACACGATGGTCACACACGAATGGAACAATGGCCAAGGCAGAATCAACAGCAGTCGCAGCAGGAACAGCATTATGAATATGCCACGGGGCTGCTGGGAACTGCAGCTGAATGTCGAGTATCCACA